AGGAACTCATACTTCCCCAATGGTGATGTAGGAATCTTACCACCCACCTTCAGCGGAATCACCATTTCGTCTTTGATGCCAGCTTCTGCTTTTTAGAAGAATGGGCCGGTACCGGAGGATGTCTCCTCTTTTCTTCTTTCCAACTTTGGACCTCCTCCCTGAACTTCAACAGCTCATCCATCATGGTCCAGTCCAGCTCCTTCCAACAAACTTCGCAGCGGAGATGCGGGGAGAAGCGATCGAATCTGAGATTCGTGAGGTCGTCCGCTTCCACATTTGTCTCCCTAGGCCGCCACCTTAACCTGAACACTAACCCATGCACTTCAGCCCCAACTGGATCTGCACGTAGGACAAAGGAAACTTATTGCTGGATCCCTTCCGGGTGACGTGCTCAGTTGCCAGATTATCTGTTCCTGCTTCCAGAGTCACTCGCCTGGGGTGCGAGCCTGCTTTGAAGTGCCCGAACACCTCCAGCGCTATCAAAGAGGCAAGAAGCTCCGCCACCGTGCTCCGAGATGGGAGGTGGTCCGTGTCAAACAGCCATGGTGCATCTGCCGCACTCACCTCCAATGCGAACCACCGGGACTTCTTCGGGTCAGCTTCCCGACCCAGTTCCCAGCCGCCCAGGATGACCCTGCCTTCATCGCACTTAGCATCTGTACGAAAGGCTTGGTCTCCCCCATGTAACGGACTTCGGCCGGAAGTGCGGTGGAATCCTTTCTTCAGCATTCCCGCGATGAACAAAAGGATAACTGAGACTGTTTGCGGAAGGATGGCAGCGGTCCCCGCAGCCACTGCACTTTTCCATGCATGGAGCGGTGCCATCAGGGGCTTCATCCAAACCAGCACCTGCCCAGCGTACACCAAACGCCCCACAAGCTCCACAAAACTCCGGTGGGTGACCATGCCTCCGTTCTGACGAGCCGTCTCAACCCACTGGACTATCCAGTTGGTCCTCCTCTCAGACAGCCCCACTTCGAACTTGCAGTAGTCCATGTAGAATCCCACAAATTCCAGACAGACTCCACCTCTAAACTTAGGCCAACGAAACGGCGTGCCAAGCATCAGCCATGCCATCAGCATATACCAGATATGGTCATACTTATCCTCCCCCGCGGCCACCATCTTCAGGTCGTCGGCAAACAGCAGCTGAAAGGTGTGGGACTGACCGCCAAGCCGCATGACCAATCGCCCCAGCAGGGAGGCTAAGCGAGCAAAATGGTAGGCTGCACAGGCCACGCCAAATGTTCCCACTTGATTGAACCAGATGGGCCCGTCATCCTCCACCCGGCAGCCAAGAAGCCCGACATCCTCTGCGCGATGCTTGAATCTTCGATGCGCCAGAGCGATGTCCGCCGCAACAGCTATCATCAACCGGAATCCTGACTCCAGCGTCTCTTCCATCACCGTTGCACTCGCCTCTGGCCCCGGGAACTCCAGCCTGTCTTGAATGGTGATGCCGTTGTTGATCTGGACAAAGTGCGTGGCATCGAAAATCACACGGACTCGTCCATCTTCCTTCGGGATGGCTCCCAGAGAGGCCACCCGCATGCGATCGCCGTAACGGCGTCGGGCCTCTTTTTCCGACAAAGGAAACATGAACCCCAATTTCTCCTCCTCTTGAAACTGCACCTCGATTTGCTGCGAATGCTCCTTGGCAGACTCGTAGTTAGAGTTCTCCGCACGGAAGTCGGAATCGTCATACTGCCGTTCCTTGACCTGGGGGCGAAACACCAAAGGCACACGTGGGAAGGTGTAACCGAACCCCACCATATGACCATCGCAGTAATTGTCGGGACCTGTGTCCAACACATCCGCATCCTCCTCCCCCATGAGCCTCGCCGTCTGGGCGATGGCGTGTAAGAAGAAAGGTTGGCCCTCCGGGGCTGTTGCCGCAAGGGAAGGGGACGGTAGGAGCTGGAACCATTGCTGCCTCAAGCTCAACATCTGTTCTTCTGAGAAGGGGGCGGCTTGAAACTTTCCCAGAGCTAGCGCGAAGAACGCCCGCTGGGTGTCCGGGATCACCTCGTGAGTGAAGCGTCGGATCAAGCTTGCCAGCTTGTCGATGAAGCCCTTTACTGCTCCTTTCTGGAAATTTCTCCTGCTGGGTGCCCAACGCCCTGGAGAGCACAAACCACACCCATCATTGAAGCTTGTAGCCGTGCGCGCATGCCAGTTACACACCATGGGCATCCCTTGATGTTCCTTTAGCGCCCCCACCAGCTTCCCATGAAAGGTTTCCTCCTCCTCCATATTTGGTGAAGGGCCTATCTGCCTAGACTTCCTTTCCAAGGTCTGCCCTTCCCCCCCCCGTAGGCGTAGTAGGGCAGGCCATGCCATAGTTGCTATCCAACGACAAAGGTCGGGGGGATAGGTAGCGGAGGGTGCTGTCATCCAAAGCCCCTGCTCATCTTTGCCGACTAAAGGTTTGTGGGCATTTGCACCATGGGGGCATTGCTTTGGCAGTGGTCCCAAATATCGACCATCAGTGTCTAACTTGTGCAACCCTGCATATCCAACATCTAAAGGGTCGAGCGACGTGAGGAAACGCGTAGGCTTAGAGGATGGCGCGGAAAACTCACACTGAAAGATTGCAAATGAGCGGACCCCCTTTTGACACAGCAACTCAGCCACTTCAGGCAGATCCCAAATACTGGCTGGGATTTGCCCTGCCGTCAAACCAAGCTGCTCAGGATGCTCTAAAAAGAAGTGGCCTCCCCGCTCATGAACTATCTGGCAGCCTTGAAGTGATTTCTGTATCAGCTCATCGGCCAGCTGAACCTTCTGTTTGTTTTCCTCACTCAGCCAAGGAAAACCGTGCGGAAAATTGTAGTCCCGCAAGGGTCGTGGTCCACCATGTTGCCGGTATTGGCACCTGGCTCTGCTATGTGTGTTGCAAGGCGGTGCCACCAAAAACAAATCAACTACTCCCGATTGGAGTTGCTGTGAAACCCAAGTCCAAACTTCCTCCTTGTGGAGGTCGTGTCCTTCATTACGAAGGATGTCCAGCTGCAGGCCCTTAAGACAAATGTTGTCCCGTTTGGCCAATTCCTGCAAGTAGTGTTGAACATCTGCTTTACGTTCCACACCTGCAAAAAGGTACAAAACATGCGCTGTACGGGAAGGCTTGTCAGCTTCGTGCCAAACTTCCCAAGTGAGACTCTCTGCCACCGGTTGTCAGTGAGTGGCCTCCTGGCCCGCGCTTGCTGCACCTCCAGAATCCTTGCCCTTTTGTTGCGGGCATGCATGGCGATTGTGCTTTGGCGACAAACAAAACTGACACACATGAACCCGTCCACAATTTCCACGGCAGGTGTTAGTCTGACTGTTGAAGCCGTAGCACACCTGTCTTCCATCCGGTGTTGTGGAGTAAACAAATCCAGCCCTCGAATCTGCGCCCAAGCGTCCCTTCCGAGACTTACCCTTGCCGCTGCCTTTGGGTCCTGGTCTTTGCTTGTTGTTGTTTGCAGCCTCATTGCCTCGCCACTTGCCATAGCTGCCACCTGTCGCCGGAGTTGAGGACGATGCCGTGCTGCGCCGTGCCAACTCCAATGTCAACGGCGTCACAAAGTAGGTCTCCTTCAAGGACGCGTCGGCTAAGACTTCATCAAAGGTTGCATTCAAAGATTTCCCTTCGCGGGATGCTCTGCGGTATGCCTCCTTCCGCAACTTGTGCTCGAAGCTGATCATAAGGTCCCAGCTGGGATTTGCAGACGTAGTTTGGGACGACCCGTCACCCTTAGGAATCTGTAGCTGAAAAATCTTGTCGCCCAATAAGAAGTCCACATAGCGCTGGTACGTTTTCGTGGACAGCTCTTCAAACCATGGTTTGTTGCGGAACCGTGCCGCCAACATGAGCATCGTGTTGCATTCAATCTTGATCTTAGACCTTAACTCCTCAGAGTTGACTGGCATCTTGGCCTTTTTCTTTTCCTTCACTATTCTCAAGCGACCTCCTGCGTCCAGGCTACTCTGCAGCTGCCCGTGCAAATCGTCTTTGACGCATCCAACCTCGTCCAATGAACTTGCTTGAAGGTCACCGCCTTCGACTTCCTCCAGCTTGAGTGCCAGGTAGTCTGGCGAAGGTTCTTCTCGTTCATCCATGGCCCCCAAGCGCCGTTCCACTGCGACTCGCATTGCTTGGCGTTCCGTCTGCAGCAACGGCTTGGGTAAGCCCATAGCCCTGGCTTCTGCCTTCAGGCTCCTTTCCTTTTCTGCTGTGTCTGATGCCTGTTGCCAGGCTGCTACAACTGCAGCCAAAGCAGCCCTTGCTCCGGCATTTGCGGTCGGGTCAATGCCAAGATCCCTGCCCAAAGCTGTCCGGGCCTCTTGTTTGGAATCCGCAAGGGCTGCAAAAAGGGCCACATTTGAGTAGTTCTGCCCAAGAGCATGCTGTCTGTCCAGCGTCACGCCCATGGCTTCCCAGATGTAAGTGAGGTCTGAGGCCACATTCTGAGCAAGCCATGCCCTCTGTTCTTCTGGCGTCGGTGCCGGTGCAGCCATCGCGAAGTTGGACTCTAAGAGAGTTAGACTCTAAGAGAGTTGGACTCTAAGAGAGTTGGACTCTAAGAGAGTTGGACTCTAAGAGAGTTGGACTCTAAGTGTGCGGAGTGTCCCTGTGAATCCCTTGATTGCGATCCAATCTTAAAAGGGGTTCAAACAAATTTCAAGTGCATGCCAGGCATTCAGAAACCGTACAGGCTGATCTTAAATCTGACCAAACCCTACGCTCAGTCCTAATGAGCTGCTTAGACCCTTCTTTCGAGCCTTAATTGCAGTCACGTGCCGTCAACTTCTTGGCACTGGACTTCTTACGTCCCGGGCCTCTTACGCCCTCCATTGGTCATTGCAGAGTCCCGCATCTTACACGGGCGGCAAACTTCAGCCTAATGACCTGCCTGAAATGCACTGAAACCCTACCCCTCATGCAAAACCAAGTTCAAAAGGGACTCCAAGGAAAATGAACGGAAGAAATTCTGAAGGCGCCATCTTTTCTTACCTCAGCGTTCTTCCTCCGTGCTGGTGGAGCTTCCCGACGTGCTGGAGTCATCCTCCTCTTGTTCGTCCAGTTCCGCCCTGAAGCACACACGGCACCAGGCGTCTACTCCAGCCTTTGGCACCTGTTCCACCTCTTCACAAGAGGCCACCGTCCAGTACATGACACCACATGCACAGCTCTTCTTGTGGAGTCTCCGGAACCCCGTTCTTCTGGAGGTGGAAATCCAGTAGGGTTTCTCTGCGATAGGGTCCTTCGGCCCCTTTTTCTTTGAGCTCTCTTCTGTGGGAACCGTTTGGGCCCAACCAGCCACCATCTCTTCCAACTCGTCATCCTCCATCAGCATCTCCAGCGTAGGATACGATGTTCCCAAGCCATACCTATGGCCTTGCATCCTGACCATCACATGAAACCAACGGCCATCGCGCTGATGGACTCCACGCTCTTCTGCGTAGTTTTTGAGCTCTCCAATGAGCTCCCCTTCTGTGAGCCCAACATGCCCCTCACAGATGGCTTGGTTGACCTCTCTTTGGATGGCTGTGACTATCTGCTTGGCGCTGAGGACGTAAGCATTGGACTCTTGCGCCCCAGCTTGCCATCTTCCCAGGTAGTCCCGCTGCTCTTTCGGGATGCCGATGTTTGCAGCATGCGTGGGGAGCCAGTGTCTGCCGCTGTGCCCGCTCCAGAAGTTGGTAATCTCCCCTGAGATCAGGAGCTCACCACTCTCATTCCAAGATCGGGCATTTTGTCCGCCCCTCAAGGGTTTTTTCACAAGGCAAAGCACGTACCGCATGTAGCTGTTCAGATTTTGCATGTTCAGGTACTTCTTCGCCCCACCTGACCAATCCTTATTGGGCGCCGGCAGGAAGTAGTCCCGGTCATCCTTGAAAGCTCCTGAATGGTACAACTCCCATCCCTGACCAAGCCAGTCCTCTCCTGCCAAAGACGCATCCCGCGCCACGTAAGCTGGCACCTCCACGGCCCTCCTTCCAGGCCCCGTCGTCTTGGTGCGCCGGAGGATCATCCGCACACAGGTTCCGTTGAGATGCATACGGGATGGATCAATCCATTGGACATCATCCGCCCTCAGCACCATCCAACACATGAGCAACATCACCCATCCAATCAGCCGCGTGTAGTTAGAGTAATCACCACTGCACACCAGGAGTTCCAAACCTATATGGTGCTGATCAGGTAGGGTCGTGCAGGACGCCGTGGTGGCGCGTCTCCCTGTAGTTCCATCTGCATGTTCTTCACCACATCCAGCAAAGTTCTGTCTTTTGACAGCTTGATCCGGTCGTCCACACGGCCAACCGTCTCTAAGAGCGCTAGCGCCCCCATCAAACTCTGCGGCGCCGTCGGTCCGCATCCATCGGCAATCCGGCCCTCCAAGTAGTCCACTACATCCGGCACCTTCGTCGGCCAGGATCGGCATCGGTTGAGAAGCAACCAGATGTAGTAACGTTTCCAAGTTGTGGCTCTGTTTCTCAAGGTCTTTGCCCTTCTGCTCCCAAAGATGCGAGCCCAACTCTTCTGCTGGTCGTCGGATTCCTGGATCATTTCCAGCACCGGCAGCTTGGCCTCAATGATGTATTGTGAGAGGGTCAGAGCCCATCGCACCCGCTCCTCTTCGGCGACTTGCAGCGGGTTGCCGACCTCTAGGGTCAGGTTTTGGCTCAAGCGCGTCTTGTGAACTTGCCTCATTGGCATGGTCTCCTTTTTCAGCAAGCTCGTGAAAGTGCCTTGCAGATCTTCAGCCTGCACCTCGTTCACCTCCAGCCTCGGCCGCACCAGGCGCTTGAAGAGCAGCCGCCGTTCTCTCTCCATGTCCCGGCTGGTATGCTCCTTGAATTGCCTGAGATCATGTGCGATCAGCATCTGTGCTTCACCCAGGCGCGCCGCAACATAGTCAGCGATCGAAACAATCCCTCCGGGTTGATCCAATGCTTCATGTAGGACTTGCAAGTTAGCAAAATCCGGGGCGAGGATCTCACTCACCTCCGCCCTCAAACCCGGGAACATTGCTCCGGCAACGCTGTGCAGCGCCCCTACCACCAATTTCTTGAGGTGGATGGCTCCACATGAAGTAATGATCCCAGACTTCTTAAGGAGGGAATGGTTTCAACCGTTTCTTGAGTCACCCATCTTAAGGGGGCGGTACAAATGAAATAAATCGTTTCCAAATTGTTGAAACCCTTTTCCCCATCTTACGGGGAGACCTGACATTCCCCCATCTTGCGGGGGTGGCTCCTGTTGGACATCTGGATCCCCCATCTTACGGGGGCTGCTCCTGTTGGACATCTGAATCCCCCATCTTACGGGGGCTGCTCCTGTTGATTGAACATCTGCATGATTCCCCCATCTTACGGGGGCTGCCCCTGTTGAACATCTGCATGATTCCCCCATCTTACGGGGGCTGCTCCTGTCAAGCAGCTAGCAAGGAATCCCCCATCTTACGGGAGCAGCAACGCGCTCGCGATTACGCATTCTTAGGGAATATCCCCAGCTTGCGGGAAGTAGATATCCTCCCGGGAAGGAGAGGGAGGTGGAGAGAGGCATAGCCACCAGCAACACAGAGGATCCATCTTATGGATCAGGAACCCAACCCCCCCACCCGACTTTCCCTCTTACGCAAAAGCTTGTTGGGCATTCGCCCAACTACGCTACCCTCCATGGTCATAACCCCCTCGCCTCTGACAACAACCTTGCCATGACCAACCTCGATCAGAATCACCCTCACGAACCTGAACAACATGCCCAGGATGGCTTTACGAACAACCTCGGTCCCCCCAAGGAGAAACACGTGCACCACAACACAGGTACGCCCGCAAATCAGGAAGATGTCGCCAACGTGGGGCACTCACGGTTGTGTGACACTTCCCAATCTACTGCCCAGACTCATTCTGTTTCCAAAGCCACTGCACAACCCTTACTACTAGACTGCCCCACTCAGCATAAGGATGCCACCCACAGATCCACTCATACCCACCTTATGCCTCAGGCCACTGGATCAATCAACTCTCCTGCGTGTACTGCCAATGACTCAACGCCTAAACAACAGGACTATTCTAACAATCTTACCTCAAAAATTGGCCTACCTACACAAACGAGTCGGCAGACCAGCAAACAAACGAGCCGCAGCAAAGATCAACACAAGAGTGTACCTAATCATCCACCCGAAACTATCCTAGACCTCTTAGCACAAAAAGCCGCCTACCAGCCGCTGAATGACAATGCTAACACACATACTCCTGGCGATGATGTAATCTTTGTTAAAGCCTCACACAGCCCTATTGACAACATTCTATGTGGCAGTGCACAAAGCAGTAGTCTCCTTATCTCCAATAGAGAAATCATCACTGGATGGCCCAGCTCATTTTCCCATGCCGATTGCGACTTTTTCTCCAAGCTTGCAACGTGTTATCTCATAAAGTTCCCAAGCTACATGTGCTATGCGGTTACTGCACTTCGTGTCCTCACCCATGCACCTTGGAATGACAACATGTTTCATGGCCACATCAGAGAACTAGTCCTATGTGCTATCGGCAATGGATGGACATGGGCTGACCAGACTGCTACGGTGCAAGGAAGACGAGTAAGCATTGGAGAAGTCTGCGCTGCTTTTGCCAGCTACCTTAACGTAAATGCCTTTCCACCTGGGCAAGTTTCTGACCTTGATACCGCGATTATTGCGGCCTGTGATGACTTGTTTCCAGACCATTGCGAACTTTTCTTTGCGCAATTTCATGTGAATTGCCTTTCATGTAACGCATCGGGCAAGGTTTCAGCCGCTCTATTTGATACAATGTTGAGTATTAACCTGGAGAACGATACCATTGATCTTTCGCGAATGATTGCAGATCGGGCTCCGCGACTTGCACTTGACAGAGAGGATGTTGGTTTTTCTCACGCCAGTGACTGTCACAATCAGGACCAACAAAACAATGAAGAAATTGAAGGTTGTTTGATTTTCACCCTCAAAATTACAAGCCCCATTGAGCAACTGCCAATTGCTACCAAGGCTTTACATCTCCTTGGACAGCTCTTCAATGTTCCCACCCTGAGTGCCAATCCTGTTTGTCAATCTTTCCTAGTCACGGGTATCATCATTGTTCAAGGAAAGTCGTCACATCATTTCCTTATCATTGAACGATGGAACGAAGGACAGGTTCTGGTTCATGACAACCTCCGCGGTCATGTATGGATCTCGGTCGAACAACTGAAAGCCACCTCTTTTGTATGGGGTTTTGTCTTCCGTCGACATGATCATCAGCCTTATTCCTTCCAACCTCCACAGTACAAAGCCATTGCACCTGCCACACTTCAGGGTGCCAAGCCGTCTCATCGTCCCAAAAAACAAAAGTTAAAACCCAAAAATATTCTCGGCATTAGTGCCAAACGATATCAGACCCCCAACCTTTCAAGGAAGAAAGTGGGAAATAACAGTACTTCGGATCAGTTAACTGAAGCATTGGATAGCAAGCCAGTTGACCCCCTCCCACTAAGCGAGAGCCCTCATCCTGCCGATACCCCGAAACACACTCACCCTGCACACAGCGAGGTTGGTGATCAACACGGGGTACTCGTGGTTGGTTACCCACCTGGAACCCAACCCACGTCTCCCCCAGTGCAAAATAAGCCGGCCGACAATGATCATCCCAGCCACCATGGGGTACCCATGGTTGGACTTGGACTGCCGTTTCCTCACGCTGGTACACCCATTCCACATGCTGATCAGAACAACGACATTGTGGGTGGTACGTCAGAAATCCACTGTGGGGCACCCACAGTTGGTCTGACGGACACCCCTCAAAACGATAACGGTCCACTATCCCATGCAGACCTTGGCAGTAAAGAGCTTGTTGATGTCCCTCATCCTCATGAACCTGAGCCTTTGACACCAGTCAGGATTAACGCAAGTGCCCAGTGTCCAACGCATGAACATGCACCAGCGGATTCTGTCCGGTCACGTCCCAATGATAATTACAACAATGTAAACCCATCCTGTAGCTATGCTGGTAGTCTCCGCCCACCAGTCAGTGGAGAAAGTGAGGTTTCCCATAGTTCTTTTGCGAAGGAGAAAGATGCATCCCCTCCCAAAAGGGCTAAGTATTCCAAAGCTCACCCATATGCTATTATTAGCCTATTTGACGGTGTAGGCTCAGCTATTCCAGCCATCACTAAAGCTATTGGATGTGCCCCGCGCATCATCATTGTTGCAGAATGTGACCCCATCCTCAAACAACTCGTTGGTGAACAATTCGATCTCCGCACTGATGGTGAATGGACCCAATCCAGCAAGGACACTTACACGCTTTATGCTGACGATGTGCGGCGACTTCTTCGTAACCAATGTCGAATACTTAAGGAAGCATTTGCATTAGCTGGGCCACAGTGCCGCTGGTTTGTAATTGCTGGCTCGCCCTGCCAGGATCTTACCCCAGCCGGCCCTCTGAAAGGACTCCTCGGACTTACTGGCCATTGTAGCTCCCTGTTCTACTATGTCCACGTAATCCTTTGGCTTGTGCAAATGAACTATCCTCTGGAGCACATCCGCTTTCTGCTTGAGAATGCAGGTGCAATGCTTGACATCCATCGTAAAGCAATCCTACGTGCCCTTGGACTGAACCCTGATTCGACTCCCGATAGCCTCCGCGTTGACCCCAAGAATACACATGGCATAAGACGTAACAGATTTTACTTTCGCAACTACCAAGACGGTGTCAAAGTCTCCAAAACGGTTGTCCTGGAACCGAGTGACATAGAAGGGCCGTTAATAGACTTTAATGGTCATCCGATTCCTTATGGGCCACTCCTACGAGTTAGATCAGTCCTAGGATACAATGTGTTTCAGCTATCTTGGACGGCATATCAACCAATTTCTCTTATTTGGGACTACCTTTTCTGGGGAGATAAAGCTCAATTTCAACTCAAAGCCAAAATGCATTCAAGCGATATCATCCCTGCCCTTGATTTTGAGAAATCCCTGCCGCCACATTATCTGCGTGCGTGGAATCGGTTCCTGCAGTCTCTCCGACAAAAAAATGTGAGCACCATTGATCGAGACCGGTTTGTCCGTGCTATCCTGCCCATATTCCATCATCCCCACATCAAAGCACACATGAGAATCCTGCTCTGTGAGGAGGTCGAAAAACTAGCAGGATTACACAACCATTTTGACCGAGTACAGGTTCACCGCTCGCTGCTCACTGAATTCACAGTTAGAAACTATTGTGGCAATAGCTTCCATCCAGAATATATTCAGGCAGCTGTAGGACACCCTGAACGGCTACGCGACTGGCTTGCTGAGCCTGCTGAAACAGCAACCAAGCATGCATGGTCCGGAGTCGTTCACCCAAAACAAGCGCGAGCCCAATACCAAGCCCTGCGTGAACAAGTACAAACCTTGGCACGAGATCAACGTATCCGTGATTTTTCTTCCAAGCAAGTTGGTCTCGACCCAATGCCGGAACTTCCAATCCATGCACTCGAAGGTCCCTTGACCCCAGTCATGCCAACTGTACTTCCTAAGCAACTGTTGCCGGCTAACCGTAAGATTCACCCTGCCGACCTAGGCGTCATGGACAACAGACCACCATCACAGCTTTCGCCAACTGCCATTCAACTCCTCCAGGAACAACACATGCAAAGCATCCTCGTAGGTATGAGGTTTTTCGGCGCAGGCATTGGAAGAACAGAAGATTTGCTGCAGTTCTTCTTTGGCCACAACTATGATGCTGTAGTGGAACGCCATTGTCCACAGGCCAAGGAGTGGATCTCTATTAAACTCAAATCCGCTGGACAGTGCACCTCCACCATGGCACAGCTTTTGCTTTGGTTGTATTCCCTATTACATCGTGAGCAAGTCTCTGTTCATTTTGTTCATATTGCTGACTGGGAAGATCAAGCACATATTGCCACCTTCGGTGATGCCCCTGCCAAATGGACGGTCTATTGTGTTCAATTTCCACGCTCGCGTACTTTTCACCTTGACACAGCTGCGTGGAATTGTCATACCCGAG